CCAGCCTAAGCAGGTTTACTTTGCTGAGCAGACAATTAAAGGTTTTGAGTAGGTACTGGGGTCAAGTCTGTAAATTAGGAAGACAAATCTGGAATCACAGCGAGGGATAGATTATAGTTGGAAGAGACTGTACGAAGGGAGGCTAATGAGAGGCTAGCGACAGTCTAGGTAAGACGAAACTGAGGACTATATAGTGCAGTAACAATGGAAATAATCAAAGGATTAGAGGATGAAATACTAGAAGGAACCTTCATTTTTTTTTTTTGCTTTTTGCTAGGCAATCGGGGGTAAGTGACTTGCCCAGGGTCACACAGCTAGTAAGTGTTGTGTGTTGTGTGTCTGAGACCAAATTCAAACTCAGGTCCTCCTGACTCCAAGGACGGAACTCTATCCACTGCGCCATCTAGCTGCCCCAAGGGGTCAGACTAGGCAATTTCTTTTTTTTTTTATTGTTGTTGTTGTCTTGTTTGTTTGTTTGTTTGTTTTTTGTTGTTGGGCAATCAGGGTTAAGTGACTCGCCCAGGGTCACACAACTAGTAAGTGTTATGTGTCTGAGGCTGGATTTGAACTCAGGTCCTCCTGAATCCAGAGCTGTTGCTCTATCCACTGTGCCACCTAGGTGCCCCAGGAACCTTCATTTCTAAAGAAAAATGATTCATAGAGAGGTAAGTAACTGTCCAAGGTCACCTAACTAATAAAGAAAAAAAAAGCCAAGATTCAAATATGGGTCCTCTTACTACCAACCCAGTGCTCTTTACACAGCCTCTATCTGAAAAGGAGGAGAAAACAGTAAATGGTGCTCTAGAGGCAAAAGACACAGTAGTTGGAAACTTGGGAGCAAAAAGAAGGAAAAATATATGACCATTGTGACTAAGTAAATTGTGAAGCCATTAAAAAATGAAACAAAAACAAGGAACTAAAGAGGAAAGAACAAGTTTGGGGAGAAAGCCATGCTTACTTTCAGATAACATATAAGAATGCGTTATCATTTCTTTCTATGAAATCGATACCTTTATTACCAAAATAAAAGTATATAACATATAAGTTCCTAAAACATACCAAAAAAAAAAGAAGAAGAAGAAGAAAAATCTGAAACAAACACAAGAATAGCTCTGTTCCAAAAAGGAATCAGTTACCTAAACAGGATATGAATAAGTACCCTGAGAGTCTCTCAGAGCTACTTCAATTTATATCGAAAGGGTTTCTTATGGTCAAAAAACTGCTGTGAGCTCCTCTTCTCCTCAGGAAATGTATGCCAGTTTCCAGCTGCCCTGTGAAGCTTCACATCTTTCACTGAAGCCAGCTGTGTCAAGACTCCCATCCATTCTTTCAATAAACTAACTAGATAGCTCAGCTTATCTAAACGGGCTGTCCTTAGCTGGGACACGTGATGACATGGCAGGATCTGGTTCCTGCGCACAATTCTGACAAAGAACAAGCCAGAAGACAGAGACATGACAGTGCCCCTCGCCCCAGTCTCTCCTTGGTTCCTATGACTTGTTTTTCTCCTCTGATGAAAGGGCATTTGGAGACAATAGCCAAAAATGCCAGCTATCTCTTCCTATGTATAGCTGTACCACTCTCCATTTCTCCATTTCCCACTGTGGTAAACTTCACCACTCTGGACAAGTGAATTGAAAACTTCTTTTCCTACCAAGGAAAGTGTAATGACTCCAACCCACACTGGGTTTTTAAATGACATCTTTCCCTCCACTTGCGTCTCTTTGCAAACACATTCGAATGTATTTTGAATAGTTCCACAGCAGTGTTTTCCTCCACATTCTATAACTCGATCATAAGGTCCCCAAGACAGCATCACATTTCCTTATATCCTCCAAAGGACAGAGCACAATATCATGTGCATACTACGTGAGAAATAAATGCTTGCTAACTGAAAAGAAAATAATAAATCTTTGAATCATGATCTCATGATTCTCAAAGTCTAATTTATTTTTCCAAAATGTTTTTTTCTTTTCTCTCCACCCACATATGATCCATCTGACTCCAATCTTCAATAACATTATACCTGAATGACAGGTTCTTTTTCCTTTTTTTTTTTTTTTTTGAGGCAACTGCGGTTAAGTGACTTGCCCAGGTTCACACAGCTAGTAAGTATCAAGTGTCTGAGGCCGGATTTGAACTCAGGTCCTCCTGACTCCAGGCCCAGTGCTCTATCCACTGCACCTCCTAACTGCCCCTGGATGACAGGCTCTTACTAAGTCTCCTTGACTCCTGCCTACACCCAGTACAGAGGCCATTGTCCATTTCCTCAAACACTATTTCCCTGTTACTGAGATACAGAAGAAAACCATCACAGTTTTTTTGGCCTCAATTGTCAATTGTGAAACGCTAATAAGTTTATTAATCAATGTTCTTCAACTGGCAAATTCAGTAAGATCCAATGATTTTTTTTCTCCCCAGATTTCCCCTCTTAATGCTTTCTTCTTTTGACTTGAATCACACTTGGCTCTCATGATTCTCACCACATCTCACACATTTCCTGGAGGAAGAGAGGTAACCTAGATTCAGGAAGAACAAAGTTCAAATCTGGCCTCAGATACTTACTAGCTGTGTGATCCTAAGCAAGTCATTTAACCTTTTTACCTCAGTTTCCAAAACCATAAAATGGGGATTAAAATAGCACCTACCTCTCAAGGCTGTTGCAAAGATCAAATGAGATAATATTTGTAAAGCGCTTAGCATAGTGGCTGGTACTTTAGGTTGTAAGCTCCTTGAGGGCAGGCACCGTCTTTCTTTTTATTAATTGTATTCTCCAGCATTTAGCACAATGCCTGGAATATCATCGGCCCTTAATAAGTGTTTATTGGATTGGTACATGACAGGCACTATATAAATGCTTATTCCCTTCCCGTTTCATTATGTCCTTCATAGATTAATAACTTCCTTATTTCAATAAACCAACAAACACATATTAAGTGTGTACAGTGTGAAAGGACATAGTGGTAGATATTTGGGATGAAAAGATCACCCATGCCCTTCAAAGAGCACATATTCTAACAGTGGAGACAAAGTACACAGAAATAGGCATACATGAACAGGGATGAGGACTGGATCTGTGATGTGACTGGCATAAGCAATGCCTTGGTGAGAAAACACCCTTTGCTGATGCAGGTTAGTACCTTCTAAAAGTAACTTACTCAGGGTGACATACATGGTATGTGTCAGAAGGAGGACCTACATACTCACATCTTCACAAGTTCCAAGCCCAGCTCCCTATTCACAATGCCACATTGACTGGAGGGTATTTACAGAGAGAGGAAGTTGAGGGAACTCTTGAAGGAAGGCAGGGATTCCAAAAGTTAGAGGTGAAGAGGACATGCATTCTAGGCATGGAGAACAGCCAGTTCAAAGCCACAGATATGGAAGAGGGAGCATCGTATGAGGAAACGCAAGACAGCATGGATGTATGGCTGGAATAGAGAGTGGGGAATATGCCCAACAAGACTAGAAAGATAGCACAAGGCCCAATTGTAAAGAGCTGTAAATGGTGAAGTCAACAGTCACTGATATGTACTGATCGGGATGTGGAGAGAGGGAAGGATGACAAAGTTGGATCAGCCCTCTTAGGAAAATCCCTTTGGGAGCTGTGTGGAGGATGGACTAGAGTGTGGAGAGTATTGGGGCATGAAAATAAATTAAGAGGCTATTTCAATAATCAAGCCAAAAGGCAATAAGGACCTGAACTAGGGTGAAGGCAGCGGGAGTGGAGAAAAGGGGAGGCATATGAGAGATAATAATAATAATGCTAATAGCTAACATTTATATAGTGCTTGGTATATAGTAGGCATTGTGCTAAGCACTTTCCAATGATTATTTCATTTGAGATGTTGTAGAGATAAGAACAAGAGCTGGAAACTTATTCTGTGAGTTGGGGGAGTGAGAGTAAGGAGTGGAAGATACCAGGTTTGTAAACCTAGGTGACTGGAAGGATGGCGGTGCCCTTTAAGGCCTGGAAAAAGATAACAAAATCTGTCTTGGACATGTAAAGTTTGAAATGCCTATAGGACACTCACTTCAAAGTTTCCAACAGACAACAAGTATTATGGGAATGGAATTCAAAGTTAGTCAATCAGTCAGAAAGCATTTATTAAGTGCTTATTATGTGGTAAGCCATGTAATAAGTGTTTAGGCAACAAAAAAAAGCAGTAACAGTCCCTGTCTATAAGTAACTCACATTTTAATGGGAGAGACATAGAAAAGAAATGTACATACAAGAAATATATAGCATAAGTGAGAAGTAATCTCAGAGGGAAGATGTTAGCAATGGCATTAGGGAGGAAATGGGAGGAACAGATAGGTTAGAGGATAGAGACTAGGGAAAGGGCACCTGCAAAATATGGGATTTGCAATGACATGAGGTTGTAAAACATTCTCGGGAATGGGGGAAAGGAAGAGAAAGGGGGCTGAGTCAGAAGAAAGAATGTTGTGGGTGAGGGAGGGATGGCAAGAAGGCCAGTGTCCTTGGAAGGCAGAGCATGCAGAGAAGAGTTAAGAAGACTGGAAAGATGAGAAGGGGTTAGATTTTTATAAAGAGGTTTAAAAGGCAAATGATTTTCAAGACTTAAAATTTTAATGTCATCTTAATCACACACACACACACACACACACACACAAACACACCACACACTTTCAAAATTGAAAATTAGGAGGAATCAAAGGAAAGGAACAAGGAAGCACCTACTATGTGCCAGGCACTGTGTTAAGGCTTCACAAATATTATCTCACATTATCCCCCCAACAGCCCTGGGAGGTAAGTGCTATTATTATCCCCACTTCACAGTTACATGAACTCAGGCAGGCAGAGAGATTAAGTGACTTGGTCAAGGTCACATAGTGATTATGTGTCTACGGCTGGATTTAAACTCAGGCCTTCCTGATTCCAGGCCCACCAAGTCACCTAACTAAATCTAAACAGACATTTTACAGATAAAATGTGAAGTAGAGTTAGATACACAGTACATCATTACAAGAAAAGATACCTTCAATCATTTTTTTCTCTGTAGATAGTTTAGCGGCCACAGAAGGAACCTGATACAAAAAGTCACAGAGAAAAGTGGAATGTGAAGATTCTTGAGGTAATCCACTTTCAAAATGAATGTCATGTTTGGGGAAATCTATAAAGAAAAAAAAAGAGAATAATGTCCTTTATTGTGTCCAAGAAGTACAAAGGAAATGTGAAGATTTTATAAAACTATGCAATATTTATTTTAAGGACATATGTATGTTATACTACATGCTGTTTGCAAGCATTCAAGTCATATTTCAATTAAAATTTAATTTGATGTTGATTCAATCATTTGTGTTAGATTAACTGTTTATATATCTATAGTTCACACAATTATGGTAGCAAGTAATTTGCTTCTTGAACTTTTCCCTAAAATGAAATAACTACTTAGTGAATTCTTATTCTCAAAATCATATTTTAGTAACTTTACTTACTAGTAACTTTACTTATCATATTTTAGTAACTTTACTTTTAGTAACTTTACTTATCATATTTTAGTAACTTTACTTACTAGCAATAGGTCACTCACTACCTTGGCCACTCTTTATACTTTTTCTGCCCAAACTATATGAACCAATAATAAATATTTATTAAGCACACTGTACTAGGCACTGTGCTGAGCTCTGGGCATATAAAAAGAAGCAAAAGATAGTCCCTGCCCTCAAGGAGCTTACAATCTAACGGATATTAATATTGAATTCTAATTTAATGTTATGTTTAAATTACACATGCATAGAATTAAAGATTTGAGGAAAATAGAAACATTTGGGAAAATAAAAACGGTAAGTGAAAATTTACCTGAGAATTTATTGTGATAGAGAAATTCCATTTGCAGACTTTGTCCCGCTTTCTTAGCTAGTAAGTAGGGGGTGCTGTAAACAGGATCTCCAGTTGCACACATTACATCAGCTCCACTAAACAATAACGCCATTGTTTCAAGAACATCTGGTTTAACTACTGCAGCACACAAGGCCTGATCAATATTAAAAGTTTAAATATATCTACTAGAATATTTGAAACTCTTCATACAAAATCAATGATACTTTTTTTTACTCCCAAATGCAACAACTGCTTATTATTGATAATGACTGTATGCTTAATTCTCAATAAATTAAAAGATTCTGAAATATGAGACTGTGATGTCTTTAAGTTACAGCAACAAAAAGCATTCTTTTCCCATCTAAATAATAATGTGCAAAAAAGAGCTACTGTTAGTTTTTCATTCACAGTTCTCTATATCAAAGATGATAATGTTTAAATAAAAGAAAATCCCACAAATATGTTATATTTACTTGAAAAGGTTTTTTTTTTGCCCCAAATATGCATATGATCAATGTTCTCAGACTTGAAAACATTTTAAGTAAAATAAGGATATAATTCTATGTAAAGATGATCCAGGAAGGCCTAAACTAATTGACCTCTTTTCCTTCCTTATGGTTCTGTCATAACCTGCTTCACACTGTTATAGTGAAAATGAACAGCATTAACTCTCAACTATTGCAAAACACAGGCTTAAAGAAAGATAACACCCTATCTCACAATCTGCTCCTGTTTGAATTATATCATCACTGGAAGTTTAGGTTTAAAAGAGCCTGAGATACAATGTGGAGAGGAAATTTCAAATTTTACTTTTTTAAACTGTGTATATGGGTAGAGAACACTAAAGAATGAAAATAAAAACAGTAAAAACAGAAATAAATGGTGTCACCAAAGGAAATAAGAATACAGGTGATGATATAATGACAAAGAATGATGATGTAGAAGTAAAGATGTCAATAGGGTTCAGACAGACACTACTGTGCAAATAATATAAAACTAAGCATCATATAAAAAGTCAACTGTAATTGGAAATTAATTGCCATGTGTTATAAAAATCTGTTATTCCCATAGTACAACCCTTCATGTTAGCTTAAAACATGATATATGAATCTCATATTTCCAATGGCATATAATAAACTAAATAAATTGCAAATTAATGAATGAGAACACTTTGGGGGTTAGCCAATAACTGAGCAAAATTAACAAATGAATTTAGTTTTTTAGATCCTTGGCATTCAATGACTTCTACTTTTCACAGAAACAAACAAACTGAAGAATAGTCATTATTTATGGATTTGCTAATTCTTTAGCCATTTTCTTCATTTGGTATTTATGCCTGGGGCTATAATAAGTTTAAGGTTTGCCATACAGCTTCTATGTACAGGATTTTAAGGCCCAACTTTTTTTTACAAGGCCTAAGGCAAAAGACAGTTCAGAAAAAGCAATAATTTATTTTTCATATGTTATATATATATTCACATAAATAAATTTGTTTTTCATATATCCAGTATTCCTAGTCCTGGCAGACTGGTAAGGTAAATATAATATGATTCTAGTATTTATTATTTATACTCAAAATTCATTAATAAACAGTAAGAATTTAATGGTTAAAAGCTAAACTGATAGAACTTAAAAATATAAAAATGTTAGTTTTTCCAAATAACTCATAAGTAGCTAAAAGTAGCAGTGGGTGGATTAATTAACCTTAGACTGCTATAAGTACATCTCTGCCTGAAAATGTGTGATCTTTAAAAAATCTAAAATATGCAGAACATCTTGAGAAATATTAGATTCTCTGAGATTCTGAGATACTGCACCCAGCATGATCAAAATAAATTTTTAACCACCCAAAATGCAATCTTCATGGAGAGCAAACCTCCTTTGACACATGAAGAGAGGAAAAAATAGCAGCAACAACAAAAATATGCATGTGGTGCTAGGGGAAAGCTGGGCAGTCCCTGGAGACAGCTAATTGGAGATTTCCTCCAATGCTTTGCAAGTGCCTTAGATTGCGTCTTTCCATGGGGAGAAAAGGGAGGAGGTGGTTCTTATTTGTCTCAAATGAAAAAAACATACCCCATGTTTTTAGATGGAAAAGAACAGTGCTGAAAATATGATAAAATGAATGGAAAGGAGTATTAATGAAAATGAGATAAAAGGTAACCACTAAAATGGGTAATTCTACCTCAACATGTGGAGCAGTTAGGTGGAGCAATAGATACTGACTCCAATACTGGAGTCAGGATGACTCATCTTTGTGTACTCAAATCTGGCCTCAGCCACCTACTAGCTGTGTGACCCTGGGCAAGTTACTTAATCCTGTTTACCTCAGTTTCCTTCAGTATCTCTGCCAAGAAAACCCCGAATGGGGTCACGAAGAGTTGGACAGTTATGTTCAGTTATGAAGAACAGCTCATTAGCTATAATGCTGAATAAAGTACAATACTTGGTCATTTCATCAGAGAAGTTACATAATAGAAATTAAACTCAGTTATACTCCCCAGATAGAGTCATAAATTATTTTTTTTCCTTTACTACTGACACAGCTGTAAAGTGAAATTTGAAAGCCACGTCTTCCTAATTAGCTTTATCATACCTTGTTTAACTCTTCTTTGGTAAGAAAGGCTAAAAGGGTTTTTCTGAATCGTCCTTCTTTATATTTCTGAGTAATAAAAAGTTTTCTTTCTTCTACTGGAGCATCTACATGTAATTCTTTATCTTTTTGAAGATTTCCAGCCCAAAAGTCATTTGCTCTTTTGTTTCCAATGACAATAAAAAGCTGGAAGAAAAAAAAATATTAGACATACAGTAATGTGATTGCAAAATCATTTTACAGACTTTAGTTTTGCTTAATGGAGTCAGGAACTTGTATGTGTGTGTGTGTACTGAAAAGAACAAAACTGTCAGATGAAAGAAACAGATGAGAGTTAAAAACCAGTTTACTACCTAAAATGAGTAGAAACCTATACAGGCACCTACCCTTTTTTTCTCATAAAATAAGAATGTTAAAGGTAGAAAGGCATTCAATTTTAAGTACAGCATGATTGTTCCCCACACTTAAATTTTTTTCAAATAAAAACATACTAATTTTTATTATTAGATATCATAATATTTATAATTTAATCATTATGGCTCATTATAAAATTTTTTTTATTTATGTCCCTGGGAATTAGGGACAGCTAAATGTGATAGGAAAAAATGGTCTTCAAGTACAGTAATAATAATGAGAGAAAAGTTGCTGAACATATGGAGCTAAGGAACACATAACAGGCTCTGTGGAGGAAGAAGCAATTATTTGTCATCCGAGGAAATATGATACAGACTCAAAAACTGAAATATCCTCCAATAAGGGTTGGAGGAAGAGGAGATGAGGAATAGCTATTGGAAACTGCCTGCTGGGGGTAATGAGCCAAATATCAACCTACAGCTACAACAAGGAGGTCACTGGTCTTTCCTGGGCATGTATTCAAGAAATCATAACCAATCAACCAACATAGATTAAACACCTACTGTGAGCCCAGGATTGTGCCTCCTTCCCAGGGCTTGTTAGAACAGATAATTTTCAAAAACACAAATAGAGACCTGCTAGAGATATCTAGCAAATGTATAGCAACACATATTTTCTTGACTGCCTTAATAACAATTCCATCATTCATAAGGTAAAAGAATGTAGATTTTTTTTTCTGGATCTAGTAGGTGAGAAGAATTCTTTGGTGTGGAGTGGAAATGATGGGAATCTTGAGAGGAAGTAAGCCACTCAGTCTTAGAATTTATAAGAAGAGGAAAGTTATCAATGGTCTAAACGCACCCTAGATTGTGAGAGAGTAGATTTCAAAAGTATTCAGAGAAAAAATACAGGTATGAAATGACAGACTAGAATTCTGCAAGGGCAGTCAAGCTAGGGGTGGGGAGCTCTTGTGAACAAAATTCTGAGGAAACAAAAATGATGTGTTAAGTGATGAGTAAGAAAAAGAGAATTGTTTTAAAAGACCAGTGGATACACAAGGACCTTGTCAATCAACTTGGAATTTTTAAAAACACATAAAGATGAAAATAAGAACAGGTAAAAAGGGATAAATGTAAATATGTGGCACAGACCTGTAGGAACAACATCAAGTATGCTAAATTCCCCAATGCGCTGAAACTACTGAGAAAAATTAAGGCCAAAAAAGGTTTTGTTAGCTATTTTAGGCAAAGCAAGAAGATTAAAGGAGGAATAAGATCACTGTCCAGAGTGAATGGGAAGATGACAGCTGATGGCAGAGAGAAGACTGAGCTGCTGAATTTGTATTTTGTTCATGTGTGCAATGCCCCGGAGGGGATATTCGGACTGCAAAGGACAGGACAAATATGGCTGGTAGAAAGTTGGTACCCAAGGTAGAAATGAGATAATAATAAATGACTTAGCTGAATTTATCCAATTCCATAAGTTTTTACTATGCCAGGCACTGCAGTAACAAAGTCATAAAAGAAACAGTCCTTGTGCCTCAAAGAGCTGACATGCTACTAGAAAGCACTTAGCTCAAGTCATATGGCCCGAATGTAATATATCCTCAGATAATCAAAGAAAATACATTGTCCTGATTTTCAAAAAAAAGAGATGTGATCAAAAGTCACAAACCTCAGAACAACAAATTTTACTTTGATTGTTGGAAAAATCCCAGAACATATTTTTAAAGGACTGCTTAATAAACATCTAGAAAGGAAGTAGTTAACTAAAAGATTCAACATGACTTCACCAAGAAATAGGCCTTGAAGATGACACTTTTCAACATTTAAAAAAAAAAAGAAAAGAACCAGATCAGGTACAACTACTGCTGGGGAAGAATTCTTAACAAAACAAAACCAAGGGAAAGAAGCACTTGCAAAAGACTAAACAGTTAATTTTGATTACTGAAACTAATTTTTTTGCATGAATGAAATCAATGTGGCTAAGTTAAGAAGGGAAACTGCAATTAGTAAAAACAATCCTTGCATCATATATCTCTGATAAAGATTTAATATCTAAGAGATAGAGGGAAATATCACAAATATATAAAACTAAGAGCTACACCCCCAGATGTATTCAAATAATATGAAGAGACAGCTCTCAAAAAAGAACTGCAAACAATTAACAACCACAGAAAAGAATTCTCCAAATCTTGAATAAAGTAAATGTAAATCAAAACAGATCTGAGCATTCATCTCAAATTCAGTAAATTGGTAATTAGGACAAAAACTGTGAACAGTCAATGTTGGAGGGGCTGTGGAAAAACAGGCAGGGTATAAAACTACTGAAACTCTGAACTGGTCCAACTATTCTGCAACTGGGTACTTTGTTTAAAAAAGTAACTATAAGGTCTATATCCTTTGACCTAAAAATTTCATCACTAGGCATATTCCCTAAGGAAGTCAAAAACAGAAAGTTTCCATATACACCAAAATATTTAAGAAGTCCCTGTAGTAGCAAATCAGTGGTTCATGGATTGGAGGATGGTTATTCATACCATATGAGGATCAGCTTAAAGAACTAAGAATATTAAACCTTGAAAAGAAAAGACCTGAGGCAGCTAGGTGGCACAGTGGATAGAGCACTGGCCCTGGAGTCAGGAGGACCTGAGTTCAAACTCAGCCTCACACACTTGACACTTACTAGCTGTGTGACCCTGGGCAAGTCACTTAACTCCACTGCCTAACCAAAAAAAAAAAAAGAAGAGAAGAGAAGACTTATGGGGGGTGAGACATCTATCTTTACCTATATTGAAGGTTGTCAACTGGAAGAAGAATTAAGACTTGTACCATTTGGCACCAAAAAGCAAAACTATGGGTAGAAGCTGTAGAGAGGAGAATTTAAGCTGGATGTCAGTAGGATGGTCTGGCTCAAGAGGCAGTGGGTTGTCCTTATTGAAGGTGTTTAAAGCAAACGCTAGACAACTGTTGGGTATGTTGTTGAGAAGATCATCTTTTAGCTACAGGTTGGACTAATGAGCCACTGCGGTGCCTTCATATGGTGAGATTCTATGAAGAGCAAAATACTAGACTTTGGTTTCTTTTTTTAAAAAAAAAAGTAAATTTTAGCTTCTCATTTGGTCATTTATGCTCTTCCCAATTTTTAATTGGATCCATTTTGGTGTTCGGTTTTATTTTGTTTTTCCCCAATCCAGTTCAAGAAAGTAAGTCAACTTGGGGCAGTGGAAGAGTGCTGAACTGGAAGTCAGAGTACCTGGGTTTGAACCCAAGTTCTACCTTTTTCTTGTGGTAGAACAAGGTGTATCACCTTGGAAAAGTCACTGAACCACTCTAGACCTCAGTTTCTCCAGGTAAATTGAGGAGGTTGGAGTAGATCTAGGGTTAGAAGTAGGGTTCTAAGGCCTCTTCCAGCACTGGCCATGATCATATTTACTATAAAAATATTTAATACTACAGAAGTTATTTTTAATATATGTAGGTATATATGTATGTGTGTATGTGTGTGTGTACTGCAACATACTGTCATTTAAGAAGTAGTTACATTAATTATATCAAACTATATTATATTATATATTGTATTGTATTATATCATATTACATTTAGCCCTGTTATTAAAGGGCTATATTTAGTTCTTATACGTGGTTAGGATTTTATCAAAAGCTACTGGACCATTTGATGCCCATCATTTGACATCCTTTATATGGGTATTTCCTGTCCCATTAACCTCTCTCCTTTGTGGGTTATATTGAAATATATCTGTGGATCATACCTCAATGAGTTCATTACTCCAAATGCTGGCATCCATTTTCAGACTGCGAACTTTTGAATCTTTTGGTCCTAAAGATCGGTGTTGTCCTGAATGATAAAAAAATAAATTAGTACAAGTTTTCAACTTACGTATTTTTTTTCATTTAAAGTAAACTTTCAAGAAAAAAACTATTCTTGCCAATAATATTTTACAAATCCAATTCAAATGAAGAAATATTTACTAAGCCTACAATGTGTGAGATATTGTTACAGGCATTAGGAAAAGAACATTTTTGCTTTTATTTTTTAAAAATAGTCCATATTTTTAAGGACGTTTCATTCCACTAGGAAGGTTGTGATGTACATATGGGTAAGTTTGACTCAAGGAAGCATGTGATAGGTGAAAGTTGGGGGTAGATAAAATTTACAAAATAATTTCATAAATTTAAAAAGGGGCAAAATACTTTGGAGGTTTCACAAAGGAAGCAGCGTTTGAGATAGATGAAAGAAGAGAAAAATTCTAAAACTCTGAGATTAAGACAATGAATATTCCAGGGATGGGAAACAGCCAGCACAAATTCATGGAAAGAGGAAACAGACAAATGTCAAGTTTGCAGAACAGGTAGTAACTTAAGTTGGCCAGAAGACTGAGTACACAAATGTTAAATGAGGTTGGAAAGGCAAATTGAAGCTAGTTTGTGGAGAGCTTAAAATGTCATGCTAAAGAAGTTTAAAAAAAACTGTAAAGATAACAGCAAGTCAGGAAGAGGAGTTCCAAATGTAGGCAGAAGAGTAGGTTCAAATCCTTACTACATGCTCCAATATTGCATTTCTCTCGTCATTTTCATCCCCCAAAGCAGAAGCAACAGAGATGACAATTAGCCTTTTGCTCAGTTTCTCAAGGCTAAGGGGAAGGTAATTTCATTCTATTGCTTATTTTTCACATGATACAACATCATTATGAAATTGTTCAGGGTAGGGACACCTACTGAAGGCTTCTGACATATTCTGTACTGGTCAAGCAGCATACATAAGTACTGTGTTCAGGCCTGGATTCCACATTTTAGTAAGGATAGCATCAAGCTGAAACTTGCCTAAAGGTGGTAAATGAAGATGATGACAGTATTTAAAAGCTTGCCATACAAGGTTCAGTAGAAAATAGTGGGAATTTTTAGGCTGAAGAAGAAAATACCTGGGTTACATGAACTCTATGTTCAAGTATCTTAGGGAATGACATGTGGAAGAGAGAGTAGACTTGCTTGACTGCTAAGGGCAGAACTAAGAGAAATGTGAAGGCAACACAGAAAGGTAGATTTTGGCTTAATGTAAGGAAAAAAACTCCTAATAATTAGAACTGTCTAAAGGTGGAATAGGTTTTCAAAGGTGCCAGTGACTTCTCTACAACTAGGGCAGTTTAAGAATGGATTTAACAAACACCTAACCTGTTGTAAAAGGGACTACTACTCAGTTATAAGTTAGACTTGAAAATTCCATAAAGTTACCTTCTAACTCTGAGATTTTTATGATTTTATAATTCTATGAAATTAGTAAACATGAGCTTAAAATGTACATATGTTCTCTAACATCTTTAAAATTTTCTAACATAGCATCCCTTTTATAAGACAGAGAATAAAAAAAATCACTGTATAAGTTTAGGACACATACCTAAAACCAAGAAAAGCCTGATGCTTGAAACTGCACTTAAAAAAAAATCTACATATGGACCAGTTGGTAAGAAATGTGAATACATGCTTATAACATTCAGCATTTCACATCTCACTAAGTCACATCCAATGAAGGTTTACAATCATCATTGTCATCATCATCATTATCAGCTAGAGGACTTGACCCATGACAGAACAAAGGGCTAGATGCACAACATTCCACTCCCCTGTACCAGCAGCATTGCTCATCATTAATTACCTGCACACTTCTTACAAATGACAACACAGAGATTGATGGATGCCCAGTCAGGATCTGGCGCTTTACAATCAGCACAGTTCTTGTTTGACTCATTGAACCAAATCTTCTCAGCTACTTCATAATCCGAGAGAGTTTCTGCTATCGATTGCTGCACGGCTTCAATCCACTCTTGCTTCTCTTTCTCCGACTCTGCTGTAAAGCTGAAACAATTGACTTTTCTGTCTTATTGATCTCCATTGTAAAGGCCAATTAAGCAGAGGGTATGGTTTGCATAGTCATTGCATACAAAGATGGAATCACAGTTTAAAAATCTGCCCTCCATACAAATTTAAGAATGATGGTGGGTTCATTTTTAATCCACTTTTAGTTGAAATCATCAGAAATATCCTATTTTATTTCTCAAAATAAATTAAGGGCTATTTTCCTTTTTATGCTTTTGGCTGTATGTATTTTGAAAGCAAATAGTCATAAAAATCTCCCCTGACCACAGTGCTACTCTTACCTTAGTATATAACAGGCTTAGATGAAAAACTTAAAGCTTCCCAAATGGTAGATGAAGAATACTCAAAAAAGGTCTGTAACTTGATCCTTGATTCACAAAGAACCTCCTAGCTATACAGTTTAGCTTTAAACTAAAGCTAAAAATGATCACTTTGCACATCAGAACTGGGGACTTAAGACTTAAAAACTGAATATGAACTAAAGGTCAGATGGATTTGAGGAGTTTCCCCAAATGATTGTTCTCTATAACTGATTTATGCAATCATCAATGGCAGCTAGTTAGTGCAGAAGTTAGAACAGTGAACCTGGAAACAGAAAACCCTGAGTTCTAAAACTGCTTTAAACATTTCCTAACTGTGTGACCCTGGGCAAGTCACATTGCCTTTTTCAACCCTACTTTACTCATCAGTAAAATAGCAATAACAGGCTTGTAGTGAAGATAAAATGAGATAATATATGGAAAGTGCTTTGTAAATATTAGTGTACTGTGTAAATACTAGCTATTATTCAAATCATGAGATAATTCACAGATATAATTGCAATGTTATTGTACTGCTTTAATTAAGCATTGTCCACTCAGCTATATCCTAACAGCTCAGTATTCTAAAAATGTGACCTTATACTAGATGTGCCACAAGATGGTTTATATTACCTTTCTAAAAGTTTATAAAAACCTTTAGTTTTCTCCTCCAAGTATATGCTACATTAAGATGTAAGAGAATTCAGAGGTCTAATAAATGCTACATTATACCTGGAAATAAAGCAGTGGCTTATGGGACTAGCATTTTTTTTTAAAAGTTGGAGAACTTAGAATCACCAAGATATTCATAATTTTGGTTCCTACACAAATATCTGGTCCTACACTGGAACACATGGTCATAAGCCCATACTGAAGTTTGCAGCTGGGGCTGGAATTTGTGGATGCAAAACTAAAATGTGTTATCCTATCTCCAACTATCATCTTTAAACTGCAAAGACTAAATTCTCCATTTGTGAAGCAATGTCCTTGGTTTCTTGGTGTAAATAGAATAATAACTTTAAACAGTAACAAAAATCTCCAACCAATTATATTAAAAATCCCTTGAAGGGACTCATTATATCATCAGTGGCCTATAGGTAATATTATTTCTTCAGGCCTTAAAACTAACACCATGGGTACACAGGTAACCTGCAATAAATAAATTTATTGAATTAAGTTCAAAAATTATCAAGTGAGTATTCATTATATGATTAGGATTATGTGAAGCTATACAGGGAATACATTCCTTGGCTTCAAAGTACTTAAAATCTTACTTTGCAAATTTTTTTGAAATAGAGAATAAAGCAAGACAAAATTGAGTGATAAAATATGCTTATTCCATTTTCAGAATCTGGTATATATTATGGGTAACTCTCCTTACTGATGTAGATCACACCACAAGTAAATAATTTAAAATTGTACCACCCTTCCAAAAAAAAAAATTATCATGGATGGCCAACCACCTGGCAATGAGATAAAATGCTACAAAAGGTCTTGAGGGTAAAAAATACTTGTCTTGGAAGGCTTCAAGGGTAACATTACATATACGTCTTATAGGAAGGTTGGGATTCAGATCGGCAATGAGAAATCATAGCATTCAATAGAAAAGACTAACGTTTGAAGAAATATGTGAGCTCTTTTCCTTTTTACGCCCTTTCTGTTAATTTCCATATGGACTCGTATCTGTAGAGGGAATCATTTATACATTTGTTGACAGAAAAAAAAACATTAAATCTTTTTAAGTTTAAGCATATGTATAGTAGAATAGGAATTCAAACATAACACAAAATTGTTGTTGTTCAGCTGTTTCAGTCATGTCTGACTCTTTGTGACCCCATTTGGGATTTTCTTAGCAAAGATACTGGAGTGCTTTGCTATTTCCTTCTCCAGTTCATTTTACATGAGGAACTGAGGTAAACAGGGTTAAGTGACTTGCCCAGGGTCACAGAGCTACTAAGTGTCTGAGGGTGGATTGGAATCCAGGTCTTCCTGACTCTGGGCTAGTACTCTATCTATCCACTGCACCATCTGCTGTCGTAACACAAAACTAGTGAGTTACATATTTTTTGGACTTGCTAATTTTCTAAAACTATTTTGTAAGGCTTTTATTTACCTGCAAATATTGGAAAAAGGTAAATCACTAAAAATAATTTCACTGTTCAACTAGTCCATTTTAAATACAAGACCAATAACTTAAAACTTATAGAATTAAATTTGCCAAAAGCAAAGATTTCAAATCTTACCTAAAACTTCTGTAGGGAGTGATTATTTCAAAACATTGTTTTACAGTCCGATCCACGTGTTTTACATTTGCTAAATTCATAGGAATTATAGTAATACCAAGTCCACTCTTAAAATCCTAGTTTGGAAAACACAAACATTTGAAAATTTTAAAATATGCATATTTTAAAAGCCGAATCTTTACATAAAACATCAAAATTCAACATTTTAGTAGTCATACTTATTGAATGCAAACCAATTTTTAAAAGGTTAGTTTGAAAGATTTCCTTTTCTCCCTGCAGTTATTTTTGTTACTCTCAAAACCATATGATAGTCTAAGATTTACTGCTTGGATGTTAATGATTTATGATTTGCTTTCCTTCAAATGGAAGATAAGCTGACCAGCATGTAGTTCCTAAGGGCAATATATTTTCTCTGTTTTTAAAAGCAGGCATGATTACTAAAACTTATAAAAGTGTTACCTTTGATCCAAAACATTTGAGGAAAACCCTGCATTTATTCATGCATCCTGAGTAGAAGAATTTTTCATTTTAAGATGTAAACAATAACATGTTCTCTTGCTATATATTTTTCTTTCTATTTTTAAATTCCCAAAATTGTATCTTTTCATGGAAGTATCTTTCCTAGAAAATATTTGTGTTACTAGTGCTGGTTGCCATCAAAACATATCATATTTTGGCTATAATAATTTTGTCAAATACTAGGAGCTCAAAAAGTCTTAGTATAGTTTTAAGTTTCAATAATCTCAGAAGCATATATGCTATAAATTATGGGGGAGAATGATTTGAAAAGTTAAATATCAAAATTTTTAAATATTGATCTTTTTAGTTAAAATTCAATGTTACCACTGTTATATGTTATATATAACCTTAGTCAAGTTTTGAATTTTGTTAAGATTTTCATCAGTTGCTGCTAACTAACGGAAAGGGTTGAATTTTTAATCCTAGTCTTAAAATCATCCAAAAAACAAAGTTTTGATGTGTGGACCACAGTTTTAATTTGACCCCACAAGAAAAAAGCTAATGGAGATAAATCAAGTGACTAAAGGGGCCTGCTATCCTAAACAAAGACTATACCCAATATATAAGGAATGGAGAAGACATACTAGTAATGGGATCAACTTAACAGAAATCTTTGAATAGCTTTTTAAAAAATTTTTGGCATAACTTACAGTAAAAAATGTTTGTTTTTTTTTCCCCTAAGCAAAATATAAAAAGTATTAATTTCTATATCTGAATGGACCATTTTGTTACATACATACTATAAACTTTTTATCTTTCTGATAGATATACAAATTTAATGAATTATAATAAACATAAATATAATCTATTTAGCTATTATATATTTAAATAACACATGATATTCATCCATATACATTCAAGTTTCAAATAAAAGATTACTGTGAGAAAGATATGTTTACTTTGTATTTTAAAACCATCAGTTAAAAATATTACTGCACTACTAAGAAGAAATGAGGTGTTGGGTATCATCATACAAAGATTTATGTGAACAAATGAGAGCTCAGAACATTTAATTAAGTGGTTGGCATCTTCATACTGTAGTTCAGTGAAAGAATGTAAAAATGTGACATTTTCTCTTAGAGAAAATGTAAGGGTTCAAAAACCATCATATGACACGCGTAGCATAGGAACATCGTTTTTCACTTTCATCCTTCACTTATACATTTGTGCGTCCATTCAAACATAAGTTATTCAAGATAGGAATTGCTTGCCTCCAGAAACTTATAGTTATAGGAATTATATTGTTCTTTAGTCAAAAAACAATGAAATAGAATTTTAAATATCCATATCCTCTTTTCCTTCTCAAAAATTTTTTTTTCAAGTAAAAAACTGCTCCTCAGTCATGGGTCATGTAGTTGCTGTCAAAAAAATTTTTTCCCTTAAGTCTTTAGCTATGATTTCAATGGTTCTGCAACCTCATCAACAGATCCATGAACCCTACTCTCTCTAGCAATACAAATTTAAGTCCCTCCACAACTAATACACTTTAATCTACAGGGAAAGACATATAATTTAGGCTTAAAAATGAGGGAGAATCATAAAATCATGGAATTTCAAAGTTGGAAGGGGGCACCAATTTAGTCCAACTCACACCAAAAAAAAACAAAAAAACTCAAAAACAAAAGAAGAAGAAGAATACTCACTATGTCATAATCAACAAGTGATAACCTAATCTCTGGTAGAAGAGCTCCAGGGAATGGGAAACAACTAACTCCCTGCAGGAGACCACCACAGCTATGGGACAGTTAAAGATTGTCTTATAGATATGTAATATTCCTAGCCTGCTGATGTAGTGGAGTGAAGTCTGCTCTGTCCAGAAGGACAGGTTCTAATGTCCCTTTTAAGCCTCAACAACCCAGATCTAAGATAGCTCCTGAAGTCTGACAAAACCCAGCTCAATGCAGGTCATTTGCACCATCTTCAAGGGAGACAAAGAAGACCTGTCTCATACCTGGCAATACTCCCAGAAGCAGCTTATCACACATTTGGATAGCTCTAATAGGAATTTTTCTTCCTTATATCAAGCCCAAATCTTCCTTTTTGCAACTTTTATCTTTCCATGTAGAACATGTGCCCAAAAGCCCTTTAAAAACTTGAAGATAAGGGGCAGCTAGGTGGCGCAGTGGATAGAGCACTGGCCCTGAAGTCAGGAGGACCTGAGTTCAAATCCAGCCTCAGACTCTTGACATTTACTAGCTGTGTGACCCTGAGCAAGTCACTTAACCCCATCTGCCTAAAACAAACAAACAAACAAACAAACAAACAAATAAAAACTTGAAAATAGCTATTATATCCCTCAGCCAACCCTCATCTTCTTTTCTTCTTCATGCTGATTATCTCTAGTTCCTTCAACCAATCCTCATATGGTATGGCCTTAAAAATTTGGTTAGCTCTTTCACTAATTTAAAAATAACTGTTGGTGATTCTTGCTGAATATAAAATTGTCTCTATCTCCTACAATAAGGTCATGCTACAGTATCTTCCTATATGATTAAGCAGTGAGGGAATTACATTAACCTTTATAATAGAAGACCTCTCTAAAAGACAAGTAAATTTATTCTCAATGAACTCTGAACCAAAGTCTTATCCTTCATACTTGAAGGAGGCTACACTAATACAATTAGACTGAATAGATATGACCTAAATAATATCCCTTATGAATATGAAGTACAGGTGATGAATGGATTTAAGGAATTAGATGTGGTAGATAGGATGCCGGAAAAACTATGGACAGATATTCACAATATTGTATAGGAGGCAGCTACAAAAAAATCCCCCCCCCAAAAAAAAGAGTAAGAAAGCAAAATGGCTGCAATGAGGCTTTACAAATAGCTAAGAAGAAAAGCAAAAGGTAAAAGAGAAAGGGAAAGATATACCCAATGGAATGCAGAATTCCAGAGACTAGCAACGACAGAGAAGGATTTTTTTTTTTAAATGAGCAATGCAAAGTAATAGAAGAAAACAATAGAATGGAAAAGATATGAGATCTCTTTAAGACAGAGATATCAAGGCAACATTTAATACAAAAACGGGCATGATAAAAGATAAAAATGGCAGGGATTTAACAGATGTGTGAGAGATTAAGAAGTGGTAAGAATATACAGAAGAACGATAGAAGAAAGATCTTAACATCACCAATAACTCATGATGGTGTGGTTACTGATCTAGAACCAGATATCCTGGAGAATAAAGTTAAGCGGTCTTAGAAGTATTGCTAACAATAAGGCTAGTGAAGGAGACAGATTTCTAGCTGAGCTATTTAAAATCCTAAAAGATGATGCTGTTAAAGTGCTGCACTCAATAGGCCAGCAAATTTGGAAAACTCAACAATGGCCAATGGATTAGAAAAGAACAGTTTATATCCCAATCCTAAAGAAGGGCAATGCCAAAGAATGTTCAAATTACTGAACAACTGCATACTCATCTCACACACCAGCAAGATTATGCTTAAAATTCTGCATGCTAGGCTTCAGCAATATGTGAAGTGAGAATTACCAGAAATGTAGGCTGATTTTCAAAGAGGCAGAGGAACTAGAGACCAAATTGCCAATATTCACTGGACTATGGAGAAATCAAGGGACTTCCAGAAAAACACCTCTTTCTTTTTCACTGACTACACTAAAGCCTTTGACTGTGTGGATCAGAACAAAATGTGGCAAGTCCTCAAAGAGATGGGAGTACCAGATCATCTTACTTATTTCCTGAAGAACCTGTAAGTGGACCAAGAAGCAACAGTTAAAACTGAACATGGAACAACTGATTGGTTTAAGTTTGGGAAAAGAGTACGATAAAACTTTATATATTGTCACCTTATTTAACTTATATGCAGAGAACATCACATGAAATGCCAGGTTGGATGAATCAGAAGCCTAGGTTGCTAGGATAATTATCAACAATCTCAGATGTGCAGACAATACCAGTGTTATAGCAGAAAGTAAAGAAGAATTAAGAAGCCTCTTAATTAGGGTAAAAGAAGAGAGTATAAAACCTTGCCTGAAGCTTAACATTAAAAAAAAAATCAAACCTAAAATCATGACAACCGGTCCCATTACTTTTGGCCAAATACAGAGGGAAGAAATGGAATCAGTCTCAGATTTCATATTCCTGGCCTCAAAGATCACTACAAATGGTGATTGCAGATATGAAGTTAAAAGAAATTAAAAGCTCCTTGGAAAGAAAGCTATGGCAAATCTGGACAGCATACTAAAAAGCAGAGACAACATCTTGCCAACAAAGTTCTGTATAGTCAAAGCTATATTTTTCGTTGTTTTTTTTTTCCAGTAGTAACATATGGCTGTGAAAGCTGGACTATAAAAGAAACCTGAGCACCCCAGAACAGATGCTTTCAAATTGTGGTGCTGGAGTAGACTTTTGAGTGTCTCTTGGACAGCACAGAGATCAAATCAGTCAATATTTAAAGAATTCAAACTATTCTTTGAAAGGACAAATACTGAACCTGAAGCTTAAATATTTTGGCCACAAAATTAAAAGACAGGAGTCATTGGAAAAGACTCTGATGTTGAGAAAGACTGAAGAAAAGGAAAAGGGGACAGCAGAGAATGAGATGGATAGATAAGTGTCACAGAAACAATGAACA